CACACACACACACACACACACACACACACACACACACACACACACACTGCGTAACCTTTTCTGGCTCAGTATCACATAAGGAAAGAAATGTATTCTTCAGGGCAACATCCTGGGTCCACTGACGTCAATGGCGAAACTCCCATTGACTTCAGTGAGGCCAGGATATCACCCTAAATCTGTTCAGGACGCAATCATAACTTTGTCCAGTCAGCTGCTCTCTCAGTACTATAAACCCTACTATAAGAGTTTTAGCCCTGTTAGTTGGGGCATACATAGAATTGGGCAAAAGTACTAGTAAATACACAGTTGTGATAATTCTGGGTTGGCAAGGAGATGTTGGAAATTGAATGAAGCTTATTAGGTCATCTAGTTAATCAATTACTGAAAAGTGAAGCTTAAAACTAGTCTGTTCCTACATTTAGGAGCCGTATCCTGGTAGTGAATAATAGTGTCTGCTGGTTTTGTTAGAGTAGGCAAAAATCCCAGGACAGCAAGACTGAAGCTAAGATCTTCATCTGTGCCTAGTCCCTTTAGGCAGGGTATAAGGCTGGAGGAACAGTCTGGAAAATGCCTTAAAACCCTGGTTCCGGGTAGGGGAGAATTCTTCCAGCACAGGCACAGCGGAAGACAATAAGGTTGTCTTCTGAGGACCTCTTTCCAAGCCCTGTGGCATGGGGGTCATTGTCAGGAGCAGAGCCGCAGTGCTGCAGAGATTTTGGGCAACCTTAGATAGGCTGTTGTATCTTAGATCACACACGTACCTGTACCTATCTGAGTTAGAGGGGTTGTTCTGGCATCCTGGAGCAGATCAGAATTCAAGAAGGGGTTCACACACCTACCACCTCTGGGCTGAGAGTTCTGTGGTTGCCTCTGAGAGGTGCAGGCTATAATCTCAACCTAGGAGTGAAAGTGCACTATAATGCAAAAATAAAACTGCTATTGCAAGTATTTCTGTTCTAAAACTGTCTCTCTTTAAATTTGGAATTTTTCAAAATTTGTTTTGAATTATTCCAATCACAATATAAAAGGGTGTCAAGTATCAGAGGGGTAGCCGTGTTAGTCTGGATCTGTAAAAAGCAACAGAGTCCTGTGGCACCTTTAAGACTAACAGATGTATTGGAGCATAAGCTTTCGTGGGTGAATACCCACTTCGTCAGATGCCATAAAAGGGTATTCTGTTGAATTTTAGAAGATAGATGAAGTCCCAATTTGGTAAAGTTTTATGGATGCTTTATGGTCTAAAGAAATACTGTGTAATAACTATAAATATGCTCTGTTTCAGACTCTTTACATTTAGTGGAGAAAGAGCTGATTCCACAGAGCATCATAGATTTTAAGGATATTATCCCTGTATCTGCACATACTGGAGAAGGAATAGAGGAACTAAAAACCTGTATAAGAAAATCACTAGCTGAAGAAGCAGAGAAGGAGAATGAAGAATATCAGAAAGAGAAACTTCGTATTTTACAGACTTCAGAAGTATAACATAATTAAAGGAGGGAATCCGTTCTTGGATATTGGATCCATCTTTAGGAACATCTGAGTTGATTCTAAATTTGTCTTTTGTCAAGAATACAGTCCTCATGAGATTGAACTCGACTTCATAGTTCTGACTCTATGCCACTATCAATTGAACCTTCTTGTTTTGAAAGCAAATCTGGAATCTTATCTGACACACATTGTAAGAAAGGGGCAGTTTAAGAAAACTGTCTAAGAATGTGAAATGAATAATATGCAGATGTACAGTGAATTTTCTAAAACAAATACATAGTCTTTTATACAAGTGGGATTTTTTTTTGTTCTTAAGCTTATAGGTATTCTTTATTTCTTACCTACACACACCAAAGCCTTAAAGGAGAGTGCTTGAAAATGGGATTTTGCTTGATAATAGACTGAGCATGTAAAATAGTGCATTGTCATGAAGAACATGGTACATTGTAGAAGAGCTTTAGTTTTCTCTGAAACCCTTTTATCTTTAAAGACAAGTGCTAGGATAATCACTACACCTACGTGGCCATCAACAAACTGCCCAAATAGTTTCCTATTTTTAGTCACTTTGACCATCTGTTTTGGAAGTAGAGATTGGCCAAATAAAAGTACTCACAGAACATCAAGTGCTAAATGGATCTAATATCTTTTTTTTAATGCTTCTCAACATATATGAAATATAACCATAAGCATGTGGATCATTTATTTGTTCTAGGCTTCTATTTTCCCCCCACTGCATACATTTTCTCTGGTCCCTTAGTGTAGGAGAGACGGGGAGCTTGTTATGCTTTGGTTCTATACTAGCTACTGCCCTAGTAGAGTGGAGAGCAACCTGGGTGCTGCTTTAAACTCTGCCAGCTGGTAAAAATCCCCCAGGGACTGCCTGTTGTGCTACTGAAGGAGCTGGGCATTCTTTGCACCAGGGGAAACTTCCAAAGGGATGTGGGCATTCTCTAGTGCTTACGGGCTGCGGTTGAGTGGAGCAGAGAATCTGGCCTGCACTCAAACATCACTTTGTATTTGGTTATCTTATGAATAGTGCCCTAGCAAATTCACGGCCCATTTTGATAAATTTCACAACTAGATGGTTTTAAAATTGGCCAATTTCACGTTTTCAGCTGTTTATGCCTGAAATTTCAAGGTATTGTAACTGGGGATCCCAACCCAAAAGGTATCCAGAAGTGGGTTTGATTTTCTCTCCCCCCACCCCCTCCTTCCCCTTGAGCTGCCATGCAAGGCAAGGAAAAGTCCTGTTCCTCCCCAGCCCAGCGAGGGCTTGCAGCTCGGAGCCCCCTGGCTGGGCTGCTCCCAGCAGCAAGGGGGAGATCCGATTTCACGGTCTGACATGTTTTTCATGGCCCTGAAATTGGTAGGGCCCCACTTATGAATTGGTGGAAATCTGAATTGAGGCATAGGAGAGAGGCTGATGTGGGGGCATGGAAGAGCAGGGCCTACTACAGACCTGTCATTCTTCATTTGTACTCTCACCTGCTGGGTTCTGCTGTCCTCTGCTCACAGAAGTAGAGGAAGGCATGGGGCTAGAACTACCTTCATATTACAGAGGGGTAGAAGATTAAGTAAAAATGACCAAGATCTCACAAGTCCCAATTCCACATCCCCTGTCTTAATTGTGATACACACTTCCTCTTTTTACTTAAAAGTGGGTAGGTCATGTATCTAAGCAAAGAGTGAGCATCCTATCTTGGTAAAGAACTGTGCATGGCTGAGGAGGAGTTGATGTTCCAGGTTTTGTATAATGAACATTAAATGTTACTAAAAAGCAACTAGTACCCCATTGTACAATATGTCATCCACTTCAAAGATCTACTATAATGTTTCCAAAGGCAAAATTAATACTGGATTCATCAGACTTAATATTTTTATATTCTAGTAAAATCCTCTCTAAATTTAAAAGCAATTACTAGGAAGGAAGCCATAATTTACTCAGTTATCCAATTCTTTTATACTGATGAACTTTTAATACTTCACTAATTGCATTTCCTCATTGGGCTAAATCAATGTTTTCAATGGGAGCTGAACACTGCAGTGCAGACTTGCTGTTGTATTTACTTCACTGCAGGGTGCAGAATATTGTTTTACAAACAGACCTTGTAGCTTGTTCAGACATGACTGACTGGGACCCACACAAGGGGGTGAATGATGACTGCTCAAAGCCATATTCTGGTGAACCATTTAGACCTTATTTGTGATGTACAGTGGGATGTGACTGAGACCTTTAACACACACAAATCCAACTGCTCTTTTAATCACTGGGGAAGAAGGAGCTGCAAGGAGCATGACTAAAAATTGGATATTTGACCACCCATGTAATTCAACTAACCGCAGCATTTATGGGAGTCTCTCGTAAGTGAAGGTTAACACCATAACATCCATTGTTTTATTGAACCCATTAAGGAAGGGTAAACATTTATCTTCTCTGAGTTTTAATTGACGTTTTCAAATAAAGATCTTACGGGGTTGTGGTATCTCTTCGTTTCGATGCTAGTTTGGATGTTACTTTTACAGGCAACTGGATTCATTTAAAGTTTAAGTGCTATAAGAAGTTGAAGCAGAGGCTGTAAATCGTTTCTCAGTTCAGGTGTCAAGACTTTTACCAGCCTCTCCAGCCAGAAGCACGGGAAGTGGTGGATTCCCCTGGAAGTGTGATCAGCCCATCATTTTTCCTTTCAGCATGAAGAAGGGGGAAACCAAAGAAGGGAAGAGACCTTGAGATAGCATGTTCAGGAGAGGGGAGACTGAGGGTATGGCTACACTGGCAGAGCTACAGTGCCGTAGCTAGGTTGACATAACCCGTGGTGTAGAGGCAGCCTATGGTGACTGAAGGGGTTTTCTGTCAGTGTAGGAATGCTCTCTCTCCAAGCAATGGTAGCCAAGTTGATGGAAGCATTCTTCCATTGATCTAGTTGCATCTACACTGGAAGTTAGTTTGGCATAGCTACATTGCTCGATGTATTTTTCACACCCTTGAGCAACATAACTATGTTGACCTGAATTTTAAGTGTAGACAGACCTGAGACATAGCAGGCCAATATATTAGAGGATCAAAGCCGCCTTAATCCACCCCTAATGCAATCCTTGTCTCATGTGTCAGAGGAATTTGGAAACAGTCCAACAGCTTACCCTTCCCTTGTTTTTTCTTTTGTTCCCTAATGCTAAATACAGATATAAGAAAGTCTTGGTGTTTGTATTCACCTGAAAAAATAAACTACTCTCTGAAACATGGAGGGGGAAAGGGATTTTCAGCTTACACAACACAAGCTAAATAAGACCAAGGCACCACCTTGCTCACTTCTTCCTGCATTTCTTCTCCCATCAGATCTCCAGCATGTAGTGATCTTTTAGACTTGCTGAATCTGCCCCAGGCAAACTTAGGTGGACTACAAATGACCCACAGAACCCTTATTGGACCTATTCCATAAAAAGCCACCGGCCTGCTGGATGAACTTGAGCAAGTAACTTCAGCTTGCCATGCCTCCGTTTCTCCAGCTATAAAATCAGGATAATGATACTCTACTGCTTTGTTAAATGCTTTGAAATCTAGTGATGAAAAGAGAGAGGTATTATACAATTCCTAGAAGAGAAGCTACTGTAAACTTCTTGGGAAAAGCAGTGCTGACAATTCCCATGATTTTACTGTGAGTTTTGTGATATTGTGGGTATGGTTGTGGTTTTTTTTTTTTTTAAGCAGCAGTTTCTGGAGTTATGGGATTATGAGAATCTCAGCTTTTCTTTTCTTTTCTTTTTTGTAAATTTCTAGCCTCCTCCTGGTTGTGGTGGAATGCTTGAAAACTTAGTCTTTTGGACCTCGGGCACAAGGAAAATTTTAAAAACCCAAATTTATTATTTTTTACATTTAATGGTTTTTAAGCCAATCTCATAATTTTTGGAGACCTAACTCATGATTTTTTATGTTGGGGGTTGGTGATGCTGAAAAAGACCTCTGAGAAGCATTTACAGTTATTTGTATAACTTTTGCATACAAATGTAGTTCCATTTTATCTCTTGTTACAGTCCTTACCTATTAGCAAAAGATGGTGATTGGCTGCAGGGCTTGATCACATTACACCACAGTAGCATAGCAGGAATAGGCTGTAGGAGCAGATTTTGAAGGATGGTGGATAGGAAATAGTTCCAAGAGGGAATCCTGGGAGTTGTAGTTTTGGAAACCGGGATAAATTATACATCAGGGGAGAAGCAGGACTACAATCCCAGAAGCCTTTGAGCATTTCTGGGAAAGGCCACGACTTCCTGAAAGGCTGAGGAAAAAGGAATAACAGCAACACCAGCCGCTCCTTAGTATTTGCAAATAACGAGTTGCGTGCGTAGGAAGGGGGTATGTGAGATTAGTAATGTTGTTGCTTTACAGTCATTTACCCATAATGTTTTTTAGCCTTTTCTATTTAGGATCGGGTGGATTTCAGTGTTTATAGCTAATGAAAAACCATGATTGCATATCTGCAGGTGGGAGAGAAGCAGAATTGTAATGATGATCCCTTTTTATTTATATCTTTATAGCACGAAATGGGAGCTTAGTTGCCTAGATTTCCTGAGAGAACTGGGTTCTTTCCTTATTACTGGGTGTTCATGTTCAAATGTAATAAAAATGCGGTGTTGGGGGGAGGGGTGAATAATCAGCCTGAAGTTGTTTTGATGATAATTATGTCCTGATTCACATTCTAACCCACGCAGTGCTGCCATTTGTAGGGGTTGGTCGTAGGCTGTTTAACAACAGTTCCTTCATCTTTTCATTAGTCATAAGAGGCACTTGCATTTGCTGTTTGTATACTCTGAAATATGCTCAACTTTAGCCTGGGCTCTCAGTATTGCTACATTGCAAGATTCTAGGTTTCTTGTTGACTTTTAGTTTGTAGAATAAATTGTTTTGGTAAATGAGATTATACCTATGATTGTTAAATATTACCACGGTAATATATTCTAGCATTCACTGAAAGGTCTCTGGGTTAGTGAATTAGTGTGCTTGCTGTATTTTTAACCATAACTCAATGCACTTTTTGGATCAATTACCATAATAATTACACTTGACACAATCTTTTGAAAATGTTGTTGTAGTGTAGAATATTCCTGAAACCCACTAATTTGAGGCCTCTATCTATAAATCTGTGATCTGTGTTATATTAGGCTTCTCTAGATGTGACTTGTTTATAGGCTTTTGCAAAGTCGGGGCTGTGTAGTTGTATCTTTTCCTCTTTTAGCAAATCTGTGGCTGCATAGGCATAATTTATTCTACCCTCTAAGAACGTGCAGACTTCCTGGGTGAATGAATACGGAGCTAGGACTTGGGAATAGAGTGGGTTATATAGTCATTGAATAATGTATCTGATAAAAATGCTATTATACATTAAATACATTTTTTTTATTTTTATTTTAAACATTCACCCACCTTGAGAGCTTACCAAATAATGTACTAATTAATGCTTTCTTCACTAAATATAAGCAATGAATAATTTTATCCATTGCTTAATCA